TTATCAATTTACTATCAACAAGACCAATTGCACAAGGCATAAAAATAAACACAAGAAAAATTATAACATCACATAAAAATCATCAACACCACAACCCCACATCATCGCATATCGTCCCTGACAATAGCCACCCTTATCGCTCATATTGCCTCCCTTATCACTCCTATAGCCACCCTTATCGCTCCGCCCAGACAATATCAATAGCCACCCTTATCACTCCTATTGCCACCCGTATCGCTCTGCCCAGACAATATTCCAACAAACACAACAACAGTGAAATGCCACCCTTATACCCACATAATATCAACGGTGAAATGCCACTCTTATCTCCCGAAAATAGTAACTCACACAACACAACAATTTACACGGGAAATTAACACGACAATATAATAAAATCAATTCAAATCACAATTTTTCCAATGGCCATAACCAAATGTTAAAGATATAATAAAATCAATTAATTTCACAACAAATAGCCCAAGGCTCCACACAATGTATATAACACCCAAAAACAATCAATAGAGATAGAAATTACTCAGCATAAAGCAAAACCTTCATTAATGCAAATTTAGATAATTATATTAACATTTATTCTTAAGCTCGCTTAAATTAATTATTTGCATAAGAAGATTCATATTGGAATTAATTTCCAATAAATATTAAACCAACAATACTCACGAAATTTCATAAATATTTCAAGTAACAATTACATCGAATTATCATATAAAAACAAATTAAACAACAAGGATTTAGGCATGGCAAACAGATGATTTAATAATTTTTCATAATTTCCCAATTTACTACGCAATAATGCCTAAGACTTTATTTCAATGAATTTTGCACGTATAAGCCCGAGTACGTACTCGTCACCTCGCGTACACAGCTTTTCGCATTTCACAAATGGCACATAAGACTCAATGCCTAAGGGGTAATTCCCCCACTCGAGGTTAAGCAAGACACTTACCTCTTTGAAGTTATGCTGATATTCCAAAATCGCCTTCTTTCTTGAGTTGACCTCCGGACAGCTCAAATCTATCCAAATTAATTGTATAACTTCATTAAAATTTATCGGAAATAATTCCGGATAATAATATGTCGACTTAAAATTTTATTCCAAAACAGTCAATGCGGGACCCGCCCCTCGGAACCTGACATAATTTTCATGAAATACGAACACCCATTTCGATACGAGTTCAACCATGCCAATTTTATCGGATTCCAATAATAACTCGACCTCCAAATCTTAAATTTTCGTTTTTGGAAGATTTTGTAAAAATCTTGATTTCTTCCATTTAAATCCAAATTAAACGATGAATATAATCATAGATTCATGAAATATAATCACTTTAGGATATAGAACACTTATCCCAACCAAGCTTGTGAGGAATCCCTCCAGAATCGCCCAAATCCGAGCTCGAAAAATTCCAAAATGAAATGCCAAAAATGACCAAGTTCAATCCTTATGTTTCTGCCCAGTTTCGCACCTGCGGACATTTTAGTCGCACCTGCGAGCTCGCTTTTGCGAGTAAATTCTCGCTTCTATGATGCCCAGACCACTACCCTCGCACCTGCGGAAGAGCTTACGCTTCTATGCTCACGCAGGTGCGGAAAAATGCTTCTCACCTGCGACCTTTGCTCTTCTCGCTCCAGGCCGCATCCGCGACCATTTTGTCACTTTTGCGGTCGCGCCCCTGCGACCATTTCCATCGCAGGTGCGATGGTACCAGAACTGGAAAAATTCCAGAATTCCTTCAAGCAAAATTTTGGTCTGTTTAACCATCTTAAACTCGCCCGAGGCCTTCGGGACCTCAACCAATTATACCAAAATGTACCAAAATACAATACGAACTTAGTCGGGGCTTCAAACCACGTCAAACAAAACCGAAATTACGAATCGCGCATCGAATCGAATTATGAGTTTTTCAAATCTTCCAACTTCTATATTTTGCGCCGAAACGTATCAAATCAATCCGGAATGACTTCAAATTTTGCACACAAGTCATAATTGACGTAATGGAGCTATTCCCATTTCTGGAATAGAAATCCGACCTCGTTATCAAAAATTCATCCTTCGGTAGGATTTTCCAAAATCATCTATTTTTCAACTTTCACCAAAATGTGCCGAATTGTCCTACGGACTTCCAAATCCAAATCCGAACATACGCCTAGTCCGAAATCATCATACGAAGTTATCTCTATCATTGAAATTCTATTCCGGGGTCGTTTGCTCAAAAGTCAACTCCCTGGTCAACTCTTTCCATTTAAGCTTCAAATGAGAATTTTTATTTAAATTAAATTTTGAATCTTCCGAAAACCAAACTCGACCACACACGTGGGTCATAATACATATTGCAAAGCTTCTCGAGACTTTAAGTCACTGAACGGGGAATAATTTCTTAAAACGACAAGTCGGGTCATTACAGGAAAGGAAGTTGAAAGTGAGGCACACATTAAGCTTGAAAGTAAGTTAAATTCAGTGAAGTCCAGTTTGTGTGCCGAGCTTGAGAAAAACAAACAACTTCATTAACAACTAGGAACAGTGAAGAGTGACCTTGAAAAATCACTCAAGTGGACATGGTCCTCTGATGCTATCACTACCATGTACACTAATAAGGGGAGAAACAGGCAGGGGATTGGGTTCCAAAGGGAAAATATTCCCTACAACCCTCATAGCAAGTACGTTATTATACATGATAATTGGCTTTGCACTCACTGTGGCAACACTGGGCACTTTAAAGAAAACTGCAAGGCCAGATGTCAGTCACAGCAAAAAAACACAAAGTTTTCGCTGAAAAAGTAACTACTGGTAGAGAACCTGGTCCCTCATATAAAAAAATACATGATGCCTGCTTGGACCAGAAGATCCCCCATTCACCCCTTTCCTCATTACAAGGGACCCAAACTCGTGTGGGTTCCTAAGTCTAACTCCTGATTTTCTTGTGCAGGGAACAATAAAAGGGAGCAGCCTATAATGGTACATGATAGCGGCTACTCAAAGCATATGACTGGAAGTACAAATGATTTGCTTTCACTTAAAGCCGTACAAGGAGGGAGTGTATCCTTTGGAAATTGCAAGAAATGATACATTTTGGGAGTTGGAAGGATTTGGAAGTCTCTCTCACACTCAATCAAAAATGTGTACTACGTGAACAGGTTGAAGTACAGCTTGGTAAGTATTTCCCAGATCTGTGACAAGGAAAACAATGTGGAATTTGTGTCAAAAATATGTACAGTCACAAACCTAGTGACTGGTGAGGTGGTGCTAGTAGCAAAAAGATACAAAAATATCTATGTTGCTGATTTTGAGTCTCTCCAGAATGGTGATCTCAGTTGTCTAAGTGTTGTTAATGATGATGCTGAATTATGGCATAAGAGGATGGGTCATGCAAGCTTCACGTTGCTGAACAAATTGGTCAGGAAGGACCAGGCTCGTGGTCTGCCCAAGTCAGGTTTCAAGGATCACAAAGTGTGTGATGCATGTGTAAAAGGCAAGCAAGTCACATCCTCATTCAAGCCCAAAATGGAAGTCAGTACCTCAAGGCCACTTGATCTTCTTCACATGGATCTATGTGGACCCATGAGGGTGGCAAGCAGGGGAGGAAAGAAATATATCTTTGTTATAGTTGACGATTAGTCCAGATTCACCTAGACTCTGTTTCTCAGAACCAAGGATGAAACCTTTGAAGTGTTTGTTGCATTCGTCAAAAGGATTCAAGTGAAAATGGGTAATAATGTAGCTTGCATCAGGTCTGATCATGGGACAGAGTTCGACAATGCCAAATTTGATGAGTTCTGTACTGAAAATGGTATCACTCATAATTTTTTAGCTCCAAGAACACCTCAACAAAATGGTGTTGTGGAGAGGAAGAATAGAACTCTTAAAGACATGGCAAGGACAATGTTGATTGACAGTGGGATCGCAAAGAGTTTCTGGGCAGAAGCTGTCAATACTGCTTGCTACTTGGTGAACAGGTGCATGATCAGGTCCCTTCTGAACAAGACTCCATATGAACTACTGAATGGAAGGAAGCCCAAGCTGACACATCTAAGGACTTTTGGGTGTAAATGTTTTGTCCTCAACAATGGAAAGGAAGCTCTTGGAAAATTCGATGCTGAAAGTGATGAAGGAATCTTTCTGGGATACTCATCCCAAAGCAAATCTTACAAAGTATACAACAAAAGGACTCAATGTGTTGAAGAGAGTATACATGTGAAATTTGAAGAATCTCACCTCTCCTGTGAGAAGAAGAGACGTGTTGACCAAGATGGAGAACCTTTATCTGTTCCATGTGAAGTTATTGACATGGAAAATGGAAAGGCAGGCATGATGAGTCATGTCAAGGAATCCAGTAAAGATGATGCAAATACATCTTCATCCATTAGAGAGGAACCTGGTCCCACGATCACAACAACTGAAGCTGAAAAAAGAGTTGTTGATGCAGTCCAAGGTACTCCACTTGCTGAAGTAAGAAGTGGCCAAGCACCTCAGTCAGATATACCTAGGTCCTCTACAAATGAGATTCAAGTACCAAATTGGAAGCACAAAAGCTCACATCCTCTTGACAACATTATCACCCCTCTTGACTCAGATGTTCAAACCAGATTAAAAGCCGGAAATTCACTTGCCTTTTTAGCCTTTCTTTCCCAAATAGAGCCCAAAAACATCAAGGAAGCATTGAAAGATGCAGACTGGATCACATCTATGCAAGAAGAGCTTCATCAATTTGAAAAAACAAGGTATGACACCTAGTTCCTCGACCCGCAGATTGAACTATCATAGGGACCAGGTGGGTATTCAGGAACAAAATTGACGAGTTTAGAAATACAACAAGAAATAAGTCAAGGCTTGTAGTTCAAGGCTACAATCAAGAAGAAGGGGTTGATTATAACAAAACATTTGCTCCATTTGCTCGAATAGAAGCTATTAGAATTCTTATTGCCTTTGCATCTCATATAGAGTTCACATTGTTCCAAATGGATGTCAAAAGTGCATTTCTAAATGGCTACCTGAAAGAAGAAGTTTATGTAAAGCAGCCTCCTGGATTTGAGTGTCACGAGCATCCTGAGCATGTATTCAAGCTGGACAAGGCATTGTATGGGCTAAAGCAAGCTCCCTAGGCTTGGTATGAAAGATTATCAAAGTTTCTTCTAGAAAATGGCTTTACAAGAGGGAAAATTGACAACACTCTTTTTCTAAAGAAATGATGGAGGAACCTGCTCATTGTTCAGGTATATGTTGATGATATCATTTTTGGAGCCACAGCTGACTCTTTTTGTGAAGAGTTTGCAAAACTCATGGGTAGTGAGTTTGAGATGAGTATGATGGGAGAATTAAATTTCTTCCTGGGACTTCAAGTGAAGCAATCTCAAAAGGGAACACTGATAAGTCAGCAGAAGTACATCAATGGGCTGCTAAAAAGGTTTGACAGGGAAACATCAAAAGTTATTAACACTCATATTGCCACAGCTACTCGTCTAGACATGAATGAACCTGGTTCTCCTGTAAATCAGACCGTGTATAGAGGGATTATAGGGTTACTCTTGTATCTCACTGCAAGCAGACTAGATATTGTGTTCAGCGTGGGCCTTTGTGCAAGGTTTCAATCCAATCCAAAGGAATCTCATCTGAAGGCTTCCAAGATAATATTGATTTATCTCTAAGAAATGCAGGACCTGGTTCTTTTCTATCCCTCAGGTGACAGCTTTGATCTTATTGGGTATGTTGACGCTGATTATGTAGGATATCTGATGGACAGGAAAAGCACGTTTGGAATGGCACATTTCTTGAGTTCTTGCCTAATCTCATGGGGTACAAGGAAGAAAACTCGGTGGCACTTTCAACTGCAGAAGCGGAATATGTAGCATCTGCCTCCTGTTGTGCTCAATTGTTGTGGATCAAACAGCAGTTGAAAGGCTTTGGAATATTCTCTGATTGTGTGACCCTCTTGTGTGACAATGCAAGTGCACTCAACATGGACAAAAATCCAGTCCAACATAAGAAGACCAAGCACATTTATGTACATCATCACTTCCTCAGAGACAATGTTGAAAAAGGGCTCATCTGTATGAAGTTTTGCAGCACTGAAGATCAGATTGCAGACATCTTCACTAAACCTCTTAGCTAAAAGTGTTTTCTGGCAAAGTCTAACTCATTTCTATATCGTTACAGGTAGACACGCATGATGATTATAGAGCAGCTGATACAATGCATGCTGGTAAAAAGGGTTAAGCTTACATTTGCAAGACCTGTCATGTAACCTGGTTCTCCTGAAACAGGTTAGTAGCTTCTTTGTTTTCTCATACACAATTTAGAACAGATAAAAACAATGCCACATCATCATTGTGGCAGTCTCTTTACTTTGCGTCTTTTGAACCAAAACGTCTCACCTGTTACCGAACGACCCAACTCCCAAAATAAAACTGCCGCATTTTCTTAACAGGTCCTTTATCTCTCATAAATGCATCTATCAAGGTCACAACTCCTCACATCAAACTTCAAACTCTTCACTTCCCCTTCTCTCTTCTCAAACCACTAATCTCTCTAGTAAACTCCATCATGACTGAGAATCAAGAAAACTCTGGTGCTCTCAACAATACCCCCATCGAGTGCACACCAGCTGAAACTCCAATAATATACTCCTCAACAAACACCACCACCAGTCCAAACCCTAGAGCGGAGTCTCCCCCACACTTAGTCTCCTCACCTACCCACTCAGGTTCTGGTTCTCATCGAAGTCGCAAAACCTCGACTCCAAAAATGTTTGTGGCTACCAGCTCTCCTCCATTCTCGCTGGTATGACATAGTGAACAAGGTGAACATGGTAACCTGGTCCAAGAGGGAAATCAGGAAACATCAAATCTCATTATGGAAGAGAACTCAAGTGTAAACCAAGAGGCTAGTCCTGACAATGCTGACTCAACCATGACAGGTCGTGAGTCTACAGGTAACACTCATTATTATGTTGAGATTTCCATGGAACCACAAGAAAAGAAGGCAATAGAAAATATGCTCTCCATAGCTGGTGAAGGGGTTTATGTTGAGGAAGGTGTAGAGGGGTCTGAGCCTCATGAGGAAGAGCCTCAGGCCATAATAGATGGGAGAGAGCTTGTGCCATTTGAAACTTCGGCACAAGATGATACTAATGTGGTCCCTAATGATGGACCTGATCCCTCCACGGAGGATCCAGGCCAGGGGTCATCTCCCCAGGTCAGTATTGATCCTGCTTCTTCTCCCCATTTCTATGATGAACCCCTGTTTATGGTGGTGCGTGAGATGTGGTGTGATAGTGAAGAAGATTTAGAGGATTTGGTGATTGCTAGCTTTATCAGGGCTAGGAGTAAGCTATTTGCAACTCCTGAGCCAACTCCTAAGCGACCCACTATAAGGTTTCAAAAGAAGGAGGCTCTTGAGTCTGCTCTTAAGAAAATCAATGGAGTCAAAGAAGGAGAAAGTTGGTGAAGGATAGCAAAGCAGTACTTGAAAAGGTTGTTCCTGTTGTCAATGTAGATGAGGAAGTAGAAGAGGAACCTAGTTCCTTGACTCACAAGCCCTCGAAGCAGAAACACTCTCTCTCCAAATCCAAAAAGAACATTTCTGTAAGTGTTGGGAGTCCAACCAAGAGTGTTAATGCTGTTTCCAATGAATAGTTTATGGAAAAGACTGGTGAAAAGACAGTGAAAGAGAGTGGTGGAAAATCTGATGATGAAGTAGTGGAAGATTCTGGTGAACATGTGCCTGAAAAATCAGTAGAGAAGGGAAAGTCTACTCTCAAGTCAGTGAAAAGAAAAATGGATGTTGATGAGGAACCTGGTTCCTCCAAGAAAGCAAATGTTGAAGAATCAGGAAGTTCTAGGAAAGGAAAGTTGAGAAAATCGAAGGTACTGTGGGGCCGCACTTTTGCCCCTGACATTGTGGAGCTTGTCGGGATGCGACAGTTAGTGGAAATTTGTGATTTTCAATAATGGACTCATTTGTTTACAAATGATATTCCAAAAGTGTATGAGGAGGAAGTGCGGAGCTTCT